GTTAGTCACTTTGTGAAAGTCTGTAAAATATTGTAGATTTACTTTAATTTTTCAATAAAGACAAGTCATCGTGGTATAATTGCAGATTAAAAAAAAAATAAAAATAAAAACTGTTATACTAAAAAACTCTTTTCACTGATCTTTTAATCATATACAAAAAAGATGTCACAAGAGGTTTTTACATTTTTTTGTTAATAAAGTCTTAATACTTTCCTTAAAACAATTTGAAGTATGAATTTAAAAGTCACCTCTATCCTTTTTCTTTTGTTTACAAACCTTTTTACTCAAAAACTTGATTTCTAGTGATCAAGAAAAATCAAGTAATATCTTTGATATCAATGGCAAGAAAGTTTCTAAAGAAAGAATAACTGATGGTAAAGTATTTGAAAATTTATCTAACCTTTGAAATGAAATGTTTATAGAGGTTTTCTGCAGTAAAAAGGCTTATTTTCTTCCTTTTTGACTGTCTTGGTTCTTTTAGAGCTTCCACTTTTATAGTTTTCTAAAGAATTTTACCTACTTCAGTTTGACACTGAATTTTGGATAGCACAAATCCTCACCAAAGGTGATTGGCTAACATGAAATACATTAGTTTTTGAAATATAAAAAAGCTCCTATTCCAGTACTTACTTAAATAAAAGATCAGTTGGATTGACTTGTCTAATATCATAGGTGATAAAAAAAAAATTTCTTCTAAGGTTCAAGTAAAACAAGAAGACTATCCTAATCAAATAGATCCCTTTTAAGAAAATGTTATTATTATTTTTAAATTTTTTTGATAGGTCTTGAATTGTCACCTTTCTCCAATCATTTTTCTTTTTCTCCTTTTTTAACTTAACAATTCATTGGTTTTCAGGCAATTAATAGTGACAAACTATTGATAATGATTCTGATAGATAGAGATTATTACTAATCTATTAGAGAAATATAATATTATTCTCAAAATCTGACTTAAGAGTACTTTTGTATGAAGATGAGTTAATTACTTTATAAAAGTCTGTAAAATATTATAGATTTACTTTAATTTTTTAATAAAGACAAGCTATGATTATAGATTAAATAAATAAATAAATAAATAAATAAATATATAATATATATATTTATTACATAGACTTGTGGGTTTATAGTGTAGTGGTAGCACTTCTAGGTCTCCAAGTACTGTCTTCAAGTTCAATATCATTGTGAGATAATACCATCTAAAGCCTAGGTGGTATAGAAAGATCTCATCCATTTCATAATGATGATTACTGTTACCTGTGGCCAAGATTCCATTTGATCATGAAATAACCAAAGATTATAAGATGCTTCAACTGGTTTTAGTGCTGAAGCCACCTTGTCACAAGATAGGTTTCATCAAGCTCCTGCAGATAGGCTGAAGATCTACTTGCCATAAAAAATTCAGGGACTAACAGTACCTAGGCACATTAGCATAAAAAGAGGATCTCTATCAAATTTGACAATCCATCCAAGACTCTACATGACTATCCCATAGGCAAACTATAATAGGTCATATAAAATGGGTACTCAAATGGAATGAAACGACATTTAAGACTTCATGTGAATATTTTATAAGTATATTGTAATAAGTAGTGTAAAAAGAATATTCGATGGGACGAGATATGAAAGGGGTCTCAGGTCCAAGCCAGCTGATGGGCAAGTATACATGGTAAGGGCCTGAATGTAGATAGGGGGGTAGTAGGGCTTCTTCTGACAACATGTTATATGCTGTAGATCACATGAAAGACTGTGACAAATGGATTTATTATAACTGTTAATTGCTATTCCAGAGGAAGGTGAGGTTGAGTTATAGAATCTGAAGTAATATAGCCTTTATTATAGCTGTAATTCAATTGTACCTCATTAAGTCGCTATTACAACTTCAATAAAACTGGGCCTCTGTAACCCCTGTTAAAAAAAAAAAAAAAATATTTATTACATAAAAATGGGTCACGTGCAACGATGCTAAATATAACATTTTTATTCGAAAGTGATTAGGCGATCATTCCTCACTTATGCTAGTTTGCACCAATAATATTTCACAAAAAATACTATATAAGCCCGAAGTCTCTTCAAAGGAAATACAACCGCGAACGCCTTGGACAAGTCTATTAGAAGGAGGCTATAAAGACAAAAAACTCTCAAACTTTCGCTAACGTTGACGCCAAAGACATTAATCTATGGAATGTGAAGATCCCTGACGATCAGGATGATCTCTTAAGCAATCTTACACTCAACGACGGGGACGAGCCCCTTGCAACAAGAGAAATAGGATACTAATGGACTGAGAAACCAGCTAAGAGACACATTCACGTCCTAGAAGAATGGTAAGTATAAAGAGGCATTGCGATGAATTGGAGACACGCATTGCAACAACCCCTATCGATGTATCCTACGAGGTCACAAAAAGCATCTATTCCTATACTTATCTCACCTCCGCAACTTTCCCGTTTAAAAGTCAAATAAAAATAGCGCCCAAGAAGCTGGTTGAAGGTAAAAATGTGCGCGGGAATCTTGACTATGGAATTGAATCACGTATAACCGGGAGAACAATTGGCTTGATCGAGGTCAAAAAATATGACTTTAAACAAGGCTTCGCACAAGCCACTGTGCAAATGGAATCATCACTAGGTCGTAAGCGCAAAGCGGATGAAATGGATGATGAATACGGTTTGGATAAAGTATGGGGGATTGTAACTGATGCGGAAAAATGGTACTTCATGGAATGTATGTTAGATAGTGAAGGGAAGCCATCATTTAAGCTGTCAAAGCCCCTTTTTGTTGTATATGAGGATGAGGATTTAGCGAAGATAACGAGTATGAAAGAAATGGCGGAGGAGGCACAGAAGCCAGTGGAATTTTCACAAGGTGGGGAAGAATCGAGGGAAATAAAAAGGGTAAGGTCAGGCGAGTTACCAAAGGTAACCGATCTTGAGGGGAAAACGAATTAGAATTTAGGAATAGAAATTTTGTCATGTATCGCGGGCTATGTCCCGAATCTTGTATTTATTTGCATGTATTAATAAAAAGTTTTTCTTGGCAAAACTTCCTGATCTCGGTTCAGGAAGTGACTTCATAACCTACATTTTTTTCTAGCAGAATGTACATGTATTAACGGACTTTTGAATATTTCATATCTTCTATAAAATATTATCGATCATGACATCCGAACTTGAATCATTGAGACAGCGTATTACTGAGCTTGAGGCTGAGAACGCAAAGCTGAGGTAGATTATTGAAGAGAATGCTGAGCTTAAAGCCGACTTAGCCAAATTAAGACATGATTTCGATTCCTCCAACCTCACGAGGCCTCAACAACCCAAGCACATTACTAACATGCAGAACTCATGCTCTGTTGGAGAAGAAGAGATATCAGCTGTACCACAGCCATATGCTTCCCATGTTATACCTGATCCTGTAATAGACCATCCCATAAATGGATCACCTAGTGATAACGCAAACATCAAGCCATCGTAGGAAGAGATGATGGTCTCTTTTCTGGATGAAGTGAATGGGAAAATTGTTGGTGATGGGATAAGGCAGAGAAAGAAGCTTGCAAAAGTGGAACCCATCTCTCCTGAAAAAGGTAAACAGATATCTGTTAACAAAAGACACTTCGCAAGAAAGAACAAAGGGAAAAATTCATTCAGGAAGTGTCTGGGGATTCAAACACCAAATGTTCTAATACTATGGATGAGTCGGGCTCGAATTCTTTGGATGTTTGCCTAGAGCAATCAGTATGAAGCTGTGATTCCTCCATCACCTCAACCGTGGAGCTCACCATGTCCTATTTGCGATGGAATACATGGGAATTATGGATTACATGGCTCATGGTAACGCAAAAATGGGAATCAGCTCTCTTATGATCCTGAATTAGCGAAGTTGTATTCCTTCCAATGTACATTGGAAGTATATTGTCTTACCTGCGCAGTTTTACTCGCCAGTTGGGACTTGGGACTAGTACATCAAGTATGACATCACGACAATTGACACGTGATGAAATGCTACTGTATCTAATCACGTAAGTCATATTTTATTACAAGTTTATTCTTCAAACTGTTAAGCGCGATGGTAGTCTAGTCAATAAGTTACTACCATAACCCATCGCGTAAGACTTCTGGTCGCACAGTTTTGCAAGGGGTCGATTAAGCCCATGGGTAGTCTAGTCAATAAGATACTATCATAGCCCATCGTGTAAGACTTCTGATCGCATCAACTTTCCTCAGAGTACAACTCACACAGTGTATTCAGGTGGTGTTCTATCTTATTAAAAAACATTTAACTATGTATATCTATTTTGCACTTTCGATATATGTAAAGTTATCCGATAAAATAAGTCCAACATTAAATGGATGTTGCGTTCGTTTAACCCTGAACCACTGGAATTTTATCGATACTTGAATCGTAAAGCGAAACGTATCGCTACGAACGCATATTTTGATGCTCTTTCATTCGTTTTAAAACTATCAGAAAGAATTCCCAAAGAGAGAGAATGGCTTTATTTCAGGAAATTCAGGAAAAATGGAAGGTGAAAACGTAGATACACTTACCTCTTATGATATAAATTTTAATACATTTATTTTTATGCAGGATGGAGTTTTCAATAAAGACATGTCGCGGAAAAATCGGCGTCAATATCTGTAATGGCATGTTATAACGTTCAAAGAAGTTATAATCGTGAGGTTTCTTCTCACTCCTTAGTAAGTATATTCCTAAATGTCAGTATTATTGTTAAATTTTATTATTATTAAACTTGTCGTCATTATGGACAGAAACGCAAGCGTGATTACCCAACAACACCAAACAAACCGATTATCCGATCGGAGATGAAAAAAATGTACCCGCAAGTGTCTTTTATAAAAAAAGCCAAGCTTGTTGTTTTCGACGATAAGACAAAAGAAGATGAAATAGAAAAGGATCCAGAAAGAGATGGTCAAAAAGCTGAAGATGAGTCCGTGGTTCAGAGTAAGATGGTCAAAAAGCTGATATTACTTTCGAATTTGAGTCAGAAGGGTTAAAGAAAGACGATCAAAAAGCTTGTGAAGATAAGTCGGAAATTTCGGAGGAAGATGATCAGAATAATCAAAATCCATTCATAGCTATAGATTGGCGTGAGTGGTTAGAAAGGATTCTGGAAGTTGGTAGTTACCCATTTATAAGAAGTAATTGCTGAATAATTATTTATGAACTGAGCCTTGTTATTTTTTTGCAGTTTTCGATTCAAGAAGCCCGAATTAAAATTTTGACATATCAACACACACCTGCAAATGGATTCGAAGAAATTATGATTAAGTATATCGGAAAAGTACTTATGGACTTGTAAGTTGTTTTTGTCTTCTTAATGTATAATGTGTACTCTAATTCACGCATTAAAAATGTTGGTTGATCATTAGCATAAATAAAATAATTGATATTCCCGGTCATGTAATGACCGTTGACGAAGTTGAAAGAGATTGGATTGTTACAAAAATTTCTCCGATCTTCACTTATATTCAAAATTCGATTTCACCGGTGAGCGCTGTTCTTTTTCTAACTTGTAAACTCATTGTTAACTACTTACATATTAATTGTAAACCATAGGATCGAGTACGATATTGAATCAACTCGTATCCGAAGGCAATACTACAAATAAAGACCGAATGAAAGCAGACATAATTGGAGTTCGGCTTTCAGACAGCCGACAGGTTGTCTTTTTGGAAATGAGTGGTGCTCCAACGGACTTCTTGAAGGCGCACCCAATTGGAGATACGTGTAGGACGCTTCAAGAGCGAATTGATTCTTTCATTTGTTATTTTTTAACCGTTGTTGTATAATAGGAGATCGACTAACTCTTAGAACGATATTTTTAAGAGGAAAAGAGGACTATGTGGATGAAGAAGAATTCTCTGCAGTTTTCCCACTTAGTTGGGATTTCCGGTTCCAATTCATTGAAATATTTGAATTGATGGAGTTTGTGGTCATATATATTTTAGAATATTCAGATATTATAAGAGAACTAATTAAGCATCCAGCAACCTCAGACGAAATTCTCTGATGATGCTTTGAAAAAAAGAATGGAAAGAGCCTGAAAGATGATTAGAATTTTTGATACTATAGGCAAAGAAAAAATAGTACGTGTAAAAACTATCCCTCCGGGTTTCAATCGTGGATGATACTGATTATGTAATTGCCGAAGTTTTAAAAGGATCAGGAAGCGCGTAATACCGCGTCCTGATGACATGGTGTCCCGCCTCGGCAACTAGAAAATAGTGTTTCCTTGCAATTGTATTTCAAATACAGTATATTAATAAAACATTTTATAAAAGATTTGCCTTCCACATATCGATAAGGCTAGCATTTTTTAACCAATGTATTATTTACTCTACAAGCGTTAACGATCACCGCTAAATACCTCTGGGATCATAATATTGCGCCCTGGTGACCGAGTTATGATATATTTTTTTTAGCTATACAGAATCGGATTGGCCGATCATCTCGTGATTTATTAGAAACTCGCCAGCTCCTGGGAACTAGGGGAGATCTCATGTGATACGAGTTTAGCGATATGTGGTCGGCTACAAATCGATAAATTTGAATCATGATATTATCTAGTATAGGTTGATAAAGAATCGATATAACACACGGAAATTGTTAAAACGCTAAGATCAGTTATAAACTACAGTAAAAAAAAAAAGGTTAAAATCAACTATTCTGGTTTAAATCCCGTGGTAGTGCAGGCGTTAAACAATCCGCAATATAGGTGTAGTGGCGAAACACCAGAAATGTGGTATTCTCGTGTCCGTTATCCATTCAAGAAACTTCTCGAATATAACCCAAAATACTTCTCGAAGAATGGGTTTATCCAGATGATTGAAAGATCATATATACTGTAGATGGGGAATTTAAAGCTGGGAGACGCTCATTTCATATTTATTGCACTGTATGCGACCTCCTTGGTAATTATTCGTGAAAATACCATCGAATGTGCTAATGATCACCTGAATAAATGTATTAATTACTAAAACCGCTAAAATTCATTATAATCATATACAAGAGAATACGAAAAAAGGAGGAAGAGTGGTATCGCTTAGTCCTGATGAGATTGATGAGATTTATCCAACATATTCGGCTATGTACAGTAGAGGCTTGAATCATTATGGTTATGACTATTCACACGAAGGTAGGAAAACTGTTGCATGTCGCTTATTTAACAGCGCTAAACTTATCCAACAGGCTTGGCAGAGTTACAGGGAGACGGTGAGAAATGATGGTACTCCGGATGATAAGAAGTATTTAGGTATAACTCCTCATGTTGACTGGATATTTGATAAGAAATATCAATAATATTTGAGATTAGCTAACGTAACATATGATAATGTTTTTAAAATATCATACCAGCGAGGCTATAAAGTCATTAGAAGTTCGGATTGGTCTAACCAGCTAATGTGGCTACAGAATCCTGAATATTATCGTATTGATAAAGATAACATTGAATATCTTATTAGAATTAAGGATGTTAGAAAAATAAGGCTAACTCATTGGATGTCTGTAAGCGTGCCAGAGAATAAATTATGTATCACCTGGCGATAATAATAATAATTTTTAATAAATTATAATTTCTAATAAATTTTATGATCAATCATTTGTGAGAATATTATACAACTGATGATATATTTTAACTTTGATTCTAATTATTATAAATCTTATAAAAATCTCAAATCTATTTTAAAATATGTGATATTAATATACTGTATAAAAGAATAGGCATTATATAAGTTACTGTATATTATTTATCCTTTTATTGATTTTAAGAATACTAGATTGTGAATAAATATTATTTGCGAATTAATAAAAGTCAAATTCAAAATAATAGTAATAATTTAAGTTTAAGCTTGAGCATTATTTTGCCCACACGATTTCTATTTATTTGTTAACAGTAAAGCATTGTGCTTAAAGTGTAAATGTAATAATGACAATTTATGCATAAATACAGTACAGTGAATTATATTCCGAAAATTTTGTAAGATTGTGCTGTACTATACAGTGCAGTGCAGTGCAGTGCAGTATAACAATATCTGTTCTATGCGTTCTAGAAGTGAGAATTTTCTGTTTGTATTCACATATCACGGGAATTGCCATTTAAAAAAGGGGGTTTTTTTTTTTTCTTTTTTTTTTTTTTTTGGTTCACCTTCGACATACTGTAAATGGACAACAATTGCAATGGACACATTAGCACACTCAAAGTAATTCGGAAAAATATTATTTGATTTTATTAAGAAGCTTAATTGTTTATGAAATTCATGCTGCTGTTAAGAATGCTTAAATAATGCTTAAAATGCTGTGCTTTTAAAATGTGATGTTTCGTAAAGTTATGTTTTGTAATATATCTATGAAAAAAAAACTAATAAAGATCAAGATTCTCTAGAATTAGGATAATAAATAATGAAATGTTCTATGTAATAATATATTTTGAATATATGAAATTAGGATGATTTGATTTTTCGTTTTATTAAATAATTTCATTCCAATCTTTTTTTTTTTTTTTCCAGCAGAGCAACTACTTTAGAATAAATTCTAGAAGGATTTCTCTCATGGTATTTCAGTCGTAAATCCTTGGAGAAAATCTTGGCCTCAATTAAACTTGTGACCGATTTTTAGCACCCCTGGTGTATACACAGTTAACAGTTAAATCTATTTTTAGCACTCCAATGGTATTCTAATGTTCACCATTGTTAGCAAATTTAATTTCACATTGAAGTAGTTTTCTATTTTTAACCAGAAAAGATTGCATCATTAACTTTACCGAGTATATTTATCAAATTTCAGTTATCAATTGCCCATAAATTATACATCCCCTTCGTATAATATAAATATAAACCAGCCCTTAGAAAAAATTTTTACGTTGCGGTCGGCTCGTATTTGGTATATAAAAGAATTTCAATTATAGGAGATCTTCCAGGATTCCCATCAAATCAGATCAAGAAACAAAAAATCAGCAAAACATTTATAATGGACATAATGGATCATACTTCATTTCAGGATTTCCACACTTCTGAATATATCTACACAACCGCAACCACAGTCTCCGCCAATTACGATCATAAAGAAAACATCGACTTTTTCGCTGACCCAAGCGATTACGCGTCTGCTAACTTCGTTCACGGTGTAGGTTGTGACACTGGTGACTACCTGGATTTTCATTTTCAACAAGATTACACCCCTTCCTACGGTTCCCCCGAGAGTTTCTATGAGTCTTTAGACTCTTCGCCTTCTGCTTCAGATTCAGACCCTTCTGACGGATATTCCTCTTGCGCCTCTTCTCCGGACCTTGCAACCGAATGTTCGCAAGGTGACCTACTACAACAGTTTGATCAACGAAACTTGACCATAGAACAAATGTCCCTCGACCCCTTCCAATCATATCAGGATCTCGGTGTTTTAACCATCCCCGCCCAACCTTCCGACGACTCGTCCGCCGTCATAGATCAACCCAACGATACCAATGATTTCTTAAATTCAAATAACAATACCTTTGACACTTTGAATACTTTCGCCGAGTGTTTCCCTTCGATTCAAGATCACCAAGGTTCCATGTTCAACTTCACCCCTCTCACCGACGATACCATCTATTCTTATTCTTCTCACATTCAACCGACCATTCCTCCTCCCCTCACCACCGACGACAACGCCGTCGCCACCACTCCATCCACCATCGCCATCACGAATTCTCAGATGAACATCATGGAACAATGCAAGAGATCCAACATTACCAAAAAATCAGATTCATCACGTGGCCGAGCAAATTCTGCGACTTCTCATAGAACCCATCGTAAATCTCTACCCAGTGGAATGATCGAACGCCTGCACACCATGAACTTGGCCCCACCGAAACCGGCCCGCAAATCAAAGACCGTTGCGCCATTCGCATGCGATTATCCCGACTGCCAGAAAACCTTCACTCGTCAATACAACCTAAAGTCGCACTTACGCACTCACACCGACGAGAGACCTTACCTCTGCGGTTATAAAGGTTGCACGAGAGCTTTTGCCAGACAACACGATCGCAAAAGACATTATAATCTACACCTGGGCTTTAAGCCTCATGTTTGCAATCACTGCGGTCGTGCCTTCGCCAGACTGGACGCCCTTAACAGGCATCTTAGGTCGGACAGCGGTGCTCCCTGTGCTCAGGCTATTCCTAACGCAGGTGCGAAAAAGTTTAAATCCGTCAATATGTGAAGGATGGTCATTTGGGCATCGCACCTATAATCTTATTTCGGACTCTTTTTCTTTCACACGCGAGTTTTCTGGGAACAATTTTTATTTTTATTGGAGGACATTTTTTTTCTTTTTAACTATAATTTTTTTGTAATTAGACTGACGAACATTTGAACATTTGTACATAACCTTTTTGTTATTTTTCAACATAGTTCCTTCGCTTCCTAAAAAAGAAAAAAAAAAAGATTTTTTTTTTTTTTTTTTTTTGGCATTCCGATTCTCGTTTAACAAAAAAAATTCACGAAAAATTGGCAAAATGAGAAAAAAAAAAAAAAAAAAACTAATCTGAATAAATATATATATACCAAACCCTCTTCGATTCTATCTTGGATCTCAATACGATATCAACCCGAATATCAAAGCAAAAAAAAAAAAAAAAAAAAAAAAAAAAAAAAAAAAAAAAAATGAAAAGAAATTATTTAAAAAAACAAAAAAACAAATAAACCTAATTTCATTATTTCAAAAAA